GCTCCGGGCCGGCTCCGCAATGAAAGAGGAGACTGCGGGCGACGCTCCTCTGTGCGCTTTGCGAGTCCCTAATACCACCAGGCAGGGGAAGGAGAAGCTGCTGAGCAGGTTGTGGGTTTCTTCATTTCTGCCCTGCGGAAGAGGAGCCGTGCGATAAGCGGAGAGCGTAGCGGAGACCGGTTTTAGCCCTGAACTGAGGGAGAAGGATGGGGGTGAGGGGGGGTAACTTTGTCTGCAACCCAGCAGAACTGTGGAGCTTGAAAAAAATCGCTGAGGTGCTGTGCGCAGCCCTCTGAGCAGCAGCCCTGCGTGATCTGCGGGAGCTCATGGGAAAGCGGCACCGTAGAGGAGCCGAGCGCGTACGGAGGACTTGAAAAGGACGGACAACGCTGTCCCCGCTGCAGCCAGGTCCCCCTGCACCCCCGCGTGCGTACACACCGCGCACGCACACGAAGATGCAGCAGAGGCAGCGAACATCTGGAAGCGAGGAAGTCTGAGCCCGCTGTTACTCGCCCAACGGTTTCCGTTTCGGGGTCACAGCGAGCACCTCGCTGCGCCCACCCGTGCCCCGCCAAGGAAAGCCATCCACCAGTAACCCCATCAGTCGAGTGACCGGGAAGGAAGCGGTGGGGAGGGGCTGGCGGAGCCTGAAGGCAGTGGGGCTGAGGTGGGAATGGGGGAGATGGGGGACTGCAGAGGTGGCTCGAAGCAGCAGGGCACGCTTTGTCCCTGTTAAATATTCACACATGCCAGGTGCCCATCACTCGAAACAGAAATCCTTTCCATTTTCTCATCACTTTTTCTGTCAATGAGCCGTTTAAAATCTCTCTGCTTCATGTCTCTTTTATTTTGAAAGCTGCCCTTGTTCCGCTGTCACAACTGCAACAGAGGAACAACGGCAGCAGTAACGCTTCATTTTAGCCAGGCAGACAAAACAGCAGACCTCCGTGCTCTATGCACTCTGTCTTGGAGCAACAGCTAAACAGAAGAAATGGAGGAGTCTTGTGGTCTCTGGTCGTTTCGCCTGATTTCCTCTCTGGTTTTCTTCCACAAACAGAAAACAAGCTTTTTTCCTTTTTTTTTTTTTTTTTTTGGTGGAGGGAGGTGCCAAACTGAAAGGGTGCAGGTATCAGTGATTTCTCCCCTAAATCCAAGAAGGCAAAGCTCATTGATGCTGCTTGTTTCATTTTTGCGTATAAAAGAACTGCCATGGATTTTACTTCTGTTGTTTTCCTTTTTCTTTTATCCCCTCTCCTCCCTTTTGTGTAAGGGAGGTGGACAGTGGATGTTTCCACTTGCTGCTCCTCCAAGCTTGGTTTATATCTCCTGTGCCTAAATGGTGCTTCTCATTTGTCCCATGGGAGGGTTGGGGAGAAGGGGAATGAGCTTCCTAGGCGTCTTGCACATCTAAAGGGATGAGTGCAGCATCTATCATCACCTGCAGCTGGCAATGAAAGACCCTCCTTGGCATTTTCCATAGGTTGGGCTGTGGGGTTTTTTTGTATTTTTTTTGTTTGTTTGCTTGGTTTAATGTCTCTGTGCCTTCTCTCACTCTTCAATGGTGCCACTTCTTTGCTTTTTTACTTCATATCTATTCAAGGAAGATCTTGTCAGAGTTTGATCCATGGCATAATGGAATGTGTAAACAGCTGAAGATTTTCACTGAAGCAGATACAATTCCTTTTTACTTCATCTCTTACTGTCAACCCTTCCCCAGCAGGTCTGACAATTTCCTTCATCTCATTTTCTCCTTCTTTCTTCTCCCTGTTCTAACCCCTCCCAAGTATTGTTGCAAGGTTCCAAAGAGGTGTGAAGTTATAGATAAACTTGAAGATTTTTTTTTTTCCTATATGGACATATACAAGGAGCGCATAATTAATCAGATAGGAACATGGCTCTGTAAGAGCCCTGGGATAGTCTGACACCTGTAACAGCGGAATGGCTGTGGATCAAGACTGGAGAAATGGCGGCAGCATGATGACAGAAGTAGGAAGGGCCGGAGAGGCAGATATTGAGCAAAGCTGTGGAAGTGGTCTGGATGATAGGAACCTCAGCAACAGTTTACATGATGTGATGTGGTGCTGGACTGTTCAGTAGAAGTGATAAAGGAAGGAAGGGTATGGACTAGAACTTTCAGAGGTGGGAGGTGGTGAAAAGGCCTTGCTAGGCAAGGGTAGAGCAGATGCAGGATCTGCGGAGTCACCTTGCTCCCAACATCTGAAATGTTTTAAACGGGCAGGTATTCTTTCATTGTTTGCCCCTGCCTAGGTTTCTGGGAGCAGAAGCATGTGCTGACACAATGAGAGTGTAAATCAAGGTAAAATGTATTCATTGACGGGTGTGGGGAGAGAACTAAGTATAAATGCCCAGAAGAATTACAGTGCTGCAGTGAGTCTAAGCCAACTCTATAGAGCTTGGCTGCCTGAAGGAGCTCTCATGCAGGATGTAAAATCTGACCTATTGATTTCGCAGTTGCTGGGAGGACCCCCCCAGTGCGAAGGAAGTCTACAGAAACTGCTGGAGTCAGCACCTGGGAAGCTCAAGCCCCGACAATAGGGAGGAAACCGCTTTACAGCATCTCCCTGGGACTCTACGTGGGCAGGAAGAGAAAGGGCCAGTTTTGCAAAGCCCATTTTTTTATTGGGTGTTTTGTTTTTTTTTTCCTTGAGTTGTTTTAGGTGCTTCACCCCAGCTTTTGCCCTCGGTATGCGGTATTTTTTGCTTCCTGCCCCGCGCCACGGGCAAGCGAAGCGGTTTCTCAACAGGTGCCGTGGAAACTTGCACGACTCCCGCGGCCATCGCGACACGGGGAGAACCGCCCGAGTCTTGAATTTTGTAGGATGC